AAATTTTTGATCTCAGCTATATGACAAAAAAAAATAATTGTAGGTATCTTTTTTCATAATATGAATGCATTCAAATGAAAAGAAAAGAAGCCAAGACAGTTGCCAATGTCCCCACTACATTAAAAGTAGTTAGCAACATTTCAGTAAATGAAGGAGCGAAGATATGAAATTATGATTGCAAAAGGAGACGACCACCACAAGTTTCCACATGCCACCTTTCTTTCCCGATGAGCAACAGAAAGTCTGCAGAGAAATTCTATCACCTAAAATAGAAGTTATATCTAAACAATATTAAGTACCACAACTTCCGCGATATAAATACAACTCCTCAGCCTGCATAGAAGTGATACATAAATATTCATAAATATTTAGATTTTTATAAGAACTACTTCGTCTACAAGAATAGTTAATATGAGGTGATGTACCAATTTTTAAAATACGTTTGAAATACTACACAGACTTTAAACCACAGAAATAATTATAGTTAAGTAGGGAAAATATTTCATATGACTGGATGAAACAAAATTTGTGCAAGAAGAACATGGGTTTCTAGGAATATTTCTAGTGGTTAGAGTGCACGAGCCTTCAGAATCTACAGAGCACTTGCTGATTTAAAAATGATTTCATAATGATTTCATATAGATCTTCTTTCAAATCTAATAAGTCCCCCCACTTTCAAGAAGCAAGCCAAAGGGAACCATTGAGAAGTGCACTTTCTTCAAATTGCGGCAAAGCATGCATCTGAAAAATGATCAGACTATTTAACTTGTTCCATATGACCTGCGCCCACGCCACAAAGAGAATAACAGCGCATGTTAGTCGCTGAAAATTTCATGCAAACAGACAAGAAGCAGTGGCATTAATCAATACCATTTTGTTTTTTGTGGAGATAAGAAAGAAAAGACAGTCATGCATTAAGTAGAAAACATGCGAGACATGTAAAACAATTACATGTACAAGACAAATTGGTATTGGCACAGCAAAGCACACGGACCTGGACAGAGCCACTCAATTAATGATTCGAGAATTACAATTTAAGTGTCTACTTTTCCAGGTGTTAGGCAATGTGCTAAGACCACATCCATTGATTTGGTACCCCAAGAACAACTCTGTCTTAGCTATATATGACCAAGGTTGGGCCATAAATTCTGACACTCTGTGCGGGACTGGCCTGGATGAGCAGGACCTCACAGAGGAGAAAGGAAAAGCGAAGTGGAATGGCGCCATTTCAAAAAAATAACAAGACGATAGGGGAAGGAGGTCAGAATACACGTTGGCCACGTTATCAATTGGACCGAAAAGAGAACTAAAACACATTTCTTGTGGAACAAGCCAAGTGCAGCGCTTTCTGAAACATACGCTTTGGTGTTCAAAATGGTTAAAAACTCTCGTCGTGGAAAAATAACAGAGGCTGGCGAAAGCAAACAAAGTTAAGATAAAGCTATCTGTTTGTGATGTACGAACTAACAGTTCGTTGGAGCAGAAAAATAGAATGCTGAAAGAACGGATATTCACGCCATAGGGGCGTACCTCAGTAGGAACGAATATTACATCTAGCCTATTTCGATATGGCGGATACTTTTCAAAGAACAATACATACCTCCGTTTTGAGGGCACTCACGAGCGAAGTGTCCCATTTCGTTGCAACGATAACAAACTGAAGAGCTCATTTTGAGAAGGCAACAACTTTGGATGCAATCTCAATGGTTCTCCCTCAAAATGAAAATGAAAATACGATGACGTAAAAACGGCTCCCTCAGAACGGCTTCGGAACGGCGTCGCAGGAGTTCGTTGCCCTTTGACACTTCTTCCACGCTTCTTCTTAGCAAAGAGGTGCCCTGCAAACATTTTTATTTGTTGATTCACGGTAAGAAATCAAGGAGTACCTTCAACTTCATTGTAAAACACTAGTAGATTCCGTCATCAAGTGTTTCCTGATGTCGTTCAACAATAAATGCATTTTTCTAAACTTTCAAATAACTTTAAACTAAAATTTGTTTATGCTAGTGTTGGACATTCTGTAAACAGAAGAACACTGCCATTCCAGAATTATGTCAAATGAGAACCTCTTTCACAATTATTTCGCATTAAGAATGACGTTGCTTCCATTTGCAATGAGCAAAATCATTCATTTGAAATTAAAAGTTCGGAGCAATGTTCGAAACTGCGCGCAAAAGCTTCGAAAAAAACGTCGCGTCATTCCAAGCAGGCTTTGTGCGCAACATGTTTAAGGTTCCCACTTCCCCCGATAGATGGCGTCGGCTTATAATAAGAGCGCGAGCTATGCATATTTAGAACGATTTTAAGAGATTAAAAATGCAATTATAAGGAGAATCTTGTACCTAAAGGCTCGGAACTGTTTATTGTTGATGCATTAGTTACATATTATTCCAACACAAAGCGTCAGTTTCGTCATCACGGTAGCGGCAACTTTGGGTCAAAGCGCTGACGACGTGATGTATGGAGGTGCGGTATATATACACCGATGATTCCTCTCGTCGTCGTACTCGCTTCGGCGGTACATATACTAAAATTGGAACGATACAGAGAAGATTAGCATGGCCCCTGCGCAAGGATGACACGCAAAATCGTGAAGCGTTCCACATTTTTTGGCAGACACGGGAGTGAACGAAAACGGATTTACACTGTAGCCCCTACTATCCCAGCAGAAATGTATTCCTCAACAAATCCTTTCAATATTTTAGATGAATAGGGACTTAAATTAACGTTTTAAATGTCCCAGAAAAATAGAAAAAACTATGAAATCGTTGGCTTTTTGCTTGCATACTCGCACAGGGCTGGCCATGAGAAGCCGCACGCGCACCGAGGATGGGCAAGTGCGGACGCACCCGTGTATGCGGTACAGTATTTGAACAGCGTCAGTCAGCCACATGGTATGACTGGGGTATAACCGTGTTCCTCGCCCTGTTCAGATGGACCTACAGCCTAAAGACCCTATTCTTTGACCAGAGGCCCGGGCCTTTTTTTAGGGGGGGGGGGAGCAAAGTGCAATAACAGTATTTGGTCAAAGAATAGGGTCTTTAGGCTGTAGGTCCATCTGAACAGGGCGAGGAACACGGTGATATCCCAGTCATACCAGGTGGCTGACTGACGCTGTTCAAATACTGTACCGCATACACGGGTGCGTCCGCTCTTGCCTATCCTCGGTGCGCGTGCGGCTTCTCATGGCCCTGTGCGAGTATGCAAGCAAAAAGCCAACGATTTCATAGTTTTTTCTATTTTTCTGGGACATTTAAAACGTTAATTTAAGTCCCTATTCATC